CTGGCGCTTCCGTTGGGATACAGAGATAGAAGGGGGGGGTGCAGCTAGCTGCCTGTCTCCCTCAGACTGAGGGGTGGGAGGTGGCGCCGGGAATGTCCTTCCTCGCTCGTCCACGGACGCGAGGGAACCGGGGCCCCCCAGCTGGCCCTCCCGCCAAGGACGCGGCTCCGCAGTGGCCCGGGCGGGGGCCGAGGCCGAAGGCCGCAGCCCCCAGCCCCGCCCCGCCCTCCGGCCCCGCACGGCGCTCCCGCCAGGCCCCGGCGCCCGCCCGGCGGCCTCGCTGCGCGGTCCCGCCCCCGGCCCGGCCCCGCTTACCCGGGGCGCTGCAGTCCGCACACACCTCCGCCCGCGGCCCCTTCCGGGACATCCTCAGCGGCGACGCGGCCGCAGCCCTCTGGGCCAGCGTGGGGGGCGCGGGCGGCGGGCCCGGGCGGCGGCGGCGGCCCCTGCTGCCCGGCCCGGCTCCGGCAAGGCCCCGGCTAGGCTCCGCGCGCCCGGCCAACCGTCCGCCCCCGGGGCTGGCCCGGAACCCGCCGTGCCCGCCTGCCCGCTCGCCCTCCGGCGCCCTCCGCCCCGCACCGCCCCGCGCCGCCCTGCCGCCGCTCGCCGCTCGCCGCTCGTTCTCTCCGCCCCCTGCGCGGCTCCGGGCCGCTCCTGCAGGAAGCGGCGCAGGCCCTGCCCACCGGGGGAGGGGCAGCCTGCACACCCGCCCCGCCGCCGGGCCCTGCGGGCCGCGCCTCCCGGAGAAAGGAAGCCGGGAGCGCGGGCGGGAGGGGGCGGGGGTGTTTAAAGGGGCCGCGGCCGCCGCTAGGCAGGCCCGAGAGGGCGGCGTCGCCTGTGCCCCTGGCCTCTACTCCCGCGCTCCTCGGCCCCGTGGCAGTGTGAGTTACCCTCACAGCCCCATCCCCTTCGCTTTCCAGGTGGAGGGTGGCCCAGGGGGCTCAGGCCCGGGGACAGTGACCCTTGGGGAACAGGGAAGAGGGTAAGGAGCTGAAGGCCCAGGCCCCCTTCCTCGTCAAACGGCTGTGGTTTGGGGTCCCCCCCCTTTTGTGGGGGGGGGGGAGAACCCCCCCCCCCCCCCCGTGCATCCACATCTGTGTGTCCAGGTGTGCGTGTGGTCACACCCTTGCTGATTACGCACAACGCCAACAATATGGACGCCCAGGTGTTCCCCTGCCTCCCAGCTAAAAATACATCTATACCTCATCCATGCTTCCATCCCGAGAGGAAAGAATCTGTTTTTAAAGACCTCCCGAGGAGTGACCACTGTGCCTGTGTGCAGTAATATCCACTCTGCATTCGTCTTGTATACCTCCACGGTGTTTCTGGGCCACCGCAGGTTTGTGTGTCCAGGGCGTGTGCATAGAACATACAGGGACCTTTTCTTATGGTGGCCTTTCTTCCTAGACTTCACAGGGAGACGGCGTAGGTGGGGGACAGGAAGCGGAGGCGCAGGCCGCACGTGGGTGCACCCCTGCACTGAGCATGCTCCCCCATACACGTGTGCCCCGCGTGCACCCAGCCCCCATCCCTGCAGCAGCAAAATGCCAAGAGCACTTCGCTTGTGGGGAAGAGGCAGGGGTGGCCAGGACTAGGCCTGGGGGCTAGGACAGTGGTGACAGAATCAAGGGAGTACTCCCAAGGGGCAGGGAGTCCTCAGTAACAAGGGGGTAAGGAGGGGAGTCCTTGGGCAGGGGTTTGGGATTTGGTCGATTTTATCCCAGCGGTGCCAGAGCAGCAGTGACTTGTGGGTGGGCAGGCTGCTTCCCTGGGGGAGACAAGTAATGCTCATGAGTCACACCACCCGAAATACAAGCAAAGCTGCCTCCATCGCCTTTTGCTGCAGCCCAGATTGACAAGTTTGTTTGAAATCGCGATCCACGGGGTATATTTATAATCGCACCTTTAAGAGAAATCTTTTTGCAGGCCTCCCCTCCCCCTACTGCCAGCCGCTCAGCTGGCGGGGCTTCTGCGAGCAAAGATACCTCGCGTTGGGGGTGGGGGGCGGCGGCGGCGGCGGGAGCCCGGTGCTGCACCCGCACCAAGGAGTCAGTCCGTGGGCTTGGTGGCCCCAGGCTGGGCGACGGAAAGGAGCGGCCTGGCCGCTCTCACTGGCGCACAGCCCACGATAGGTCGCCGCCGGTTCACCCCCGATCGACCCCCAGCTATGGAATTTCATTTATTAAATGTCGAGGCGGCTACTGGCAGCCCCATCGCTTGGCTGTCTTTGTTTCTCCGCTGTGTGGGCGCGTCTCGAGCACGTGGCAGCTGGAGCGCGCAGACCGGAGGAAAAGCGACCTGGGTTTGGTCTAGGGCCGCGTGGCAAAGAAACCCGGCTGCTAAGGGTCTAGGTCCCCCAGTCCAGGCTGAGCTCCCCCTCTCCCAGAGCTTCAACACTTTTCAGGAGGATGATTCATGTTGCCCCCTCCTGCCCGCCAGCTCCCCCTCCCGGCTGGCCCGGGGACTACCTGGGAGTGGCCCAGGCGAAGAGCCACACTCTCCAAACTTTGTTCCGGAAGCCCCCGGCCCCGCCACGGCAGAGCTTTTGCGCCTGGGACTAGGAATAAAAGGACTTCAGGATTTCCCTTTGGAGATGTCGCCACCTCAGGAAGCGGGACGGTAAAAGAGAAATCTCAGACCAGGTTCTAAAAACAATTTAATGAGGAAATGTACAGGCATTCTCCCGGCCACTCCTAGCTGTCCCTCCCCCGCTCCAGCCCCCTCCCCAACTCCGGCTGCAGCCACAACACTCTGCTGACCCCTCGTGGTAGAGGTGGGCAGCGGTCCCCGGTTGCGGGAGACGCCAGCCGGCTCCTCCCTGGCTGGAGAAAGGGGCGAGGCAGTCCACTCCTCCCTTATCCTTTCCCGCCTGGGCCTGGCACCGCAGGGTGTGGAGGAGGGAGAGAAGACCACACAAAGAAACCTGAGAGAGGCGCGGAGAGTTTGCAAGCTTTTGCTAGCACCTCCCACACAAACACTTTTTGGATTGTTCTAAGCAGGGCTGGTATGGAATCCCTAATTCCTGTCCTGTTCTAGGGTGGACTCGAGAAGGCACTGGGCCCGGGCCCGGTCCCGCCACCTGTCTCAGTCCGCCTGGGTTGCGGGCGGGATGTGCCGTTTCCCAGGGCAGTTACTATCCTTAGCTCACCCCAGTAGGTAGTATTTAGAGTCTCATTTAGAGGTGAGTGGTCTGAGAAAGCAGAAAATTTAAGCAATTTGCTTACGGTCAAGCGGTTAGTAAAGAGGAATTCGAACTCTGGTTTAAGATCCCAATCCCTCCTCCCTCCAGGGACTGGGCCACGCCTCTAGGTCACTCCAGCCCTTGCAATAGGCAGCCCCAGAGGTCAATTACACTTTTTACCACAGCGTCTGCTGGGCCCCTTCTGGAAGGACCTCTCTGCCCTGGGGTTATTCAGGAAGGACGCAGCCTCGGAATCAGTCACTTCCTCTCCTAAGGGGACCACACTGAGTGGAGGTGGGAAGCCGCCACCTGCTGCTTACTCTGCCCAGCCCCACTCTGGTCCTTGCGGCGGACAGCAAATGGTGGGGGGGACTGCCCTTCCAGCCTTAGTGGTCCTTCCCTTTGAATGTCAAGTGTGGAAGGTGGAATTTAATTTGCTAAAGAAGGCAGGGGCGACTCCTACATAATACTTCCACGTGCCAGATCCCTGGTTGCTCCAACGACCTCTGGTACTATTGTCCCGCACCTTTCTCAGGAGTTCCCCCCCCAAATCAGTCACTCTTCTTGGAATCTGGATCCCCCCTCACGTTCCACTGGGACCCAAACTCAGTCCTGAAGGCCACAGCTTCCCGCGCCCTCTAAGGCTTGAGCAAGGCCTGTAGCCCCTTCCCTCCCCCCAAAAAGGCAAAACGCCCGTGGGTGGGGGTGCGCCCCGGCCCACCCGGCGTCAGGACACGGTCTCCGTTCCCGTCAGCCCTGGCTCCCTCCCCACCCGCTCATGGGAGCAAGGGGGACCGTGCGGGACCTTCTCCGGCGCCCCGCCACCCGCAGTTCCACGAGGCGGACTACATGCCCCATGATGCCACGGGGCCGAGCTACCACAAGCTCTGCCCCGGGCACCCGGGTCCCCCTCCTCTCTCCCCCGCATCCCCGCATCTCTCGCCGGCCGCTCGGGCTGAGGGCCGGGCAATGCAGCTGCGGGGAGCCGGGGGCGGCGGGCGCGCGTCCCTGTGGCGGCGTCCCCGGGGTTCGCGCCCCGTGCGCCCCCGCGCCGGCTGCGGGCGCCTGCTCCCTCAGCCGAGCGGCATCTTTGTGTGCGGGGGTGTGGGAGGTGAGGCGCGAGTCCGCGCCGCGGCGCCGAGCGCCCGCTCCCTCCCCGGGCGGGTGGGGGCCTCTCCGCGCCGCCCGCCACCGCCTCGCGAGGACGCCCGCGGCCCGCGCCGCCCGCACAGCGCCGGGCGCGCCGCCCCCGCCCGCCGGCGCCGCTCGCACAT